AGACAGAGAGAGAGAGAGAGACAGAGACAGAGAGACAGAGATAGAGAGAGAGAGAGAGAGAGAGAGAGAGAGAGAGAGAGAGAGAGAGAGAGAGAGAGAGAGAGAGAGATTGTCTTGATTGTCTTACCCTCCCCCCCCATCAACACCCATACCAACCACTAGATTGGCAAATTGAGAGGCGGGACCAAAGAGCCGAAGCTCAACCCCCGCAAGCACTCTTAGATAATAGTACATCAACAGTAGCTAAGAGTCCAAAGCCGCCGCCTCACTCCCAGGAACATCTCCAAGAGCCACTTAACTTGCCAAGATACGCATTACTAAGACACAGTTCAGATTTTCTTATATTTTTACCTCTCAACACTGTGGCCAGCCTGGCGGCGGCAGGCCGGCCACGGGTCGCAGAGGAACACGCACCAGTTTTTTACCCGGCCTGTACCGAACCTGTTGGCCGGTTAATGGAAGAGTTCTTACGCATGCCAGACCGTATACTGGTTCTCCTGTACGTGAGGAGTAGGAGCCAGGCGGCCTCTCTTCCGTGTCTTCCCCAAGGGGTCGAGGCATTATTGCCTTTATGTCTATCCCAAGCGAGGCAGCTACCCAGTGGGAGGTCACATACCCCGGGGGACGCCCCTACCCAAAGGGGACTATACTGCCTATAGGCTGGCAGTACTGGAGGCCATGTACTGGGCCAGGTGTAGGGAGGTGGATACTGTCTTAGATATTGTAGTAGACATCAGCTCTGCCTCCATATAGGCACCAATCACGACGCCTCACACATAATATAGTAACTTTCTTTCAAGGAATAACACACATTTTCCGACCAATCGTCCCATTCGACCATTACTGCATTAAACCAGCCCCTTAGCTCATTAGTGTACGCCTTACGTCAGGGCGCCTCAAGGCTCTTTATCCTCACCAACTTTGTTTCCCTTCCGTCCGGTTGTTAATGGGTATTTTACCTAATTAACATTCGTCACCTTACGAAGCTCTTCTTAGCAATTACCATTAAGTAGCTGTTAATGCAGTTATACTGAAGACTAATTAGCTACGTGTGTCACTTCCACGACGCACACAATTGTTAATGGAACTACTTAGTGCCAGGAACTGCTCAGTTGTCTCCAGGTCTTGGTAGTTAGGGGGGGGGGGGGGAGAATTAGGGATGGACGCGACGGATGGGAGATAGGGAACGGAATTACGTGAGGGGGGGGGGGGTTAGGGGGTGGTTGGGGTAGAGGACCTAAACGTTCCTGGCAAGTGGCAGGAAGTCCCCCCCCTGGTCTCTCCCCCCCCTTGTCACTCCCCCCCTCCCACACACGACACTAACCAGGAAAACGAGTGATGGTGGCGGGTCATGAGGATAACAGTGATGGTGGCGGGTCATGAGGATAACAGTGATGGTGGCGGGTCATGAGGATAACAGTGATAGTGGCGGGTCATGATGATAACAGTGATAGTGGCGGGTCATGAGGATAACGAGTGATGGTGGCGGGTCACCAGGATAACAGCGTGGAGGCCGGGTCATGAGGATAACAGCGTGGAGGCCGGGTCATGAGGATAACAGCGTGGAGGCCGGGTCATGAGGATAACAGCGTGGAGGCCGGGTCATGAGGATAACAGCGTGGAGGCCGGGTCATGAGGATAACAGCGTGGAGGCCGGGTCATGAGGAACCCATAACAGCGTGGAGGCCGGGTGTAGCCAGCAGGAGAGGTCTGGGATAACCGGTTGAAGCAACAAGTGGTTCAGTCCTCATAATTTGTCGAGGAGCAAAAACCCTTTAACTGGAGCACTTCTTGTACACTGAAGGTCTCTCATCTGGGCCCCCGAGACTGTCTTTGTTTCTCATCTGGTCCCCGAGACTGTCTTTGTTTCTCATCTGGGCCCCCGAGACTGTCTTGTCTCTCATCTGGTCCCCCGAGACTGTCTTTGTTTCTCATCTGGTCCCCCAAGACTGTCCTTGTCTCTCACCTGGGCCCCCAAGACTGTCCTTTCTCACACCTGGTCCCCAAGACTGTCCTTGTCTCTCACCTGGGCCCCCAAGACTGTCCTTGTCTCTCACCTGGTCCCCCAAGACTGTCCTTGTCTCTCACCTGGGCCCCCAAGACTGTCCTTGTCTCTCACCTGGTCCCCCAAGACTGTCCTTGTCTCTCACCTGGTCCCCACAAGACTGTCCTTGTCTCTCATCTGGTCCCCCAAGACTGTCCTTGTCACACAGACCACAGGAAAGTCTTCAGCTAGACTTAAGAGCCACCTGATCAACGCATTTCATTCCCAACAACTACGAAAACACGTCCTTCCTAATAGATCTGCCGTAGGGGACACATACCCAAGGGCGTATGTACCCAAGGGCGTATGTACCCAAGGGCGTATGTACCAAGGGCGTATGTACCCAAGGGCGTATGTACCCAAGGGCGTATGTACCCAAGGGCGTATGTACCAAGGGCGTATGTACCAAGGGCGTATGTACCCAAGAGCGTATGTACCCAAGGGCGTATGTACCCAAGGGCGTATGTACCCAAGGGCGTATGTACCCAAGGGCGTATGTACCCAAGGGCGTATGTACCCAAGGCGTATGTACCAAGGGCGTATGTACCCAAGGGCGTATGTACCCAAGGGCGTATGTACCCAAGGGCGTATGTACCCAAGGGCGTATGTACCAAGGGCGTATGTACCCAAGGGCGTATGTACCCAAGGGCGTATGTACCCAAGGGCGTATGTACCCAAGGGCGTATGTACCCAAGGGCGTATGTAACCAAGGGCGTATGTACCCAAGGGCGTATGTACCCAAGGGCGTATGTACCCAAGGGCGTATGTACCCAAGGGCGTATATTTAGCAACAAAATGCTCTAAGCATAGAGAGAATGATCTGGTTGTGTAATTATTACACTCAAAGTTTCCAGAGCGTAAATGTGTGAGATCATCCTCGACGCGACGCCTGGAGGGAGGTCACGGGGCGGCGTCGGAGGTCACGGGTCGGCGTCGGAGGTCACGGGGCGGCGTCGGAGGTCACGGGGCGGCGCCAGAGGTCACGGGGCGGCGCTGACCCCGCCACCAGCAAGTCCTGCCTGACAGTCTGCACGTCCCACTCGCCTCCACAGCAGATGATTCACTCCTATTAATTGGTACTTGAACTTATTAGCACAGGACCTGTCTGCTGCTGCTGTGTGTACGTGTCCCTATTACAGCAGGACCTGTCTGCTGCTGCTGTGTGTACGTGTCCCTATTACAGCAGGACCTGTCTGCTGCTGCTGTGTGTACACCTCCCTATTACAGCAGGACCTGTCTGCTGCTGCTGTGTGTACACCTCCCTATTACAGCAGGACCTGTCTGCTGCTGCTGTGTGTACACCTCCCTATTACAGCAGGACCTGTCTGCTGCTGCTGGGGAGTATTCCCTAGGGGGAGGCTGAGAGCCCGCTATTATGAGTGAACGGGGCTTCAAGTACTGTGTGAGGTGCTGAGAACATGTGTAGCCTCGTACCTGGTGCTGTGTACACCTTGGCCAGGTGCTGTGTACACCTTGGCCAGGTGCTGTGTACTCCTTGGCCAGGTGCTGTGTACTCCTTGGCCAGGTGCTGTGTACACCTTGGCCAGGTGCTGTGTACACCTGGCCAGGTGCTGTGTACACCTTGGCCAGGTGCTGTGTACACCTTGGCCAGGTGCTGTGTACACCTTGGCCAGGTGCTGTGTACACCTTGGCCAGGTGCTGTGTACTCCTTGGCCAGGTGCTGTGTACTCCTTGGCCAGGTGCTGTGTACTCCTTGGCCAGGTGCTGTGTACACCTTGGCCAGGTGCTGTGTACACCTTGGCCAGGTGCTGTGTACACCTTGGCCAGGTGCTGTGTACACCTTGGCCAGGTGCTGTGTACTCCTTGGCCAGGTGCTGTGTACTCCTTGGCCAGGTGCTGTGTACACCTTGGCCAGGTGCTGTGTACACCTTGGCCAGGTGCTGTGTACACCTTGGCCAGGTGCTGTGTACACCTTGGCCAGGTGCTGTGTACACCTTGGCCAGGTGCTGTGTACACCTTGGCCAGGTGCTGTGTACACCTTGGCCAGGTGCTGTGTACACCTTGGCCAGGTGCTGTGTACACCTTGGCCAGGTGCTGTGTACACCTTGGCCAGGTGCTGTGTACTCCTTGGCCAGGTGCTGTGTACACCTTGGCCAGGTGCTGTGTACACCTTGGCCAGGTGCTGTGTACTCCTTGGCCAGGTGCTGTGTACTCCCTTGGCCAGGTGCTGTGTACACCTTGGCCAGGTGCTGTGTACACCTTGGCCAGGTGCTGTGTACACCTTGGCCAGGTGCTGTGTACTCCTTGGCCAGGTGCTGTGTACACCTTGGCCAGGTGCTGTGTACACCTTGGCCAGGTGCTGTGTACACCTTGGCCAGGTGCTGTGTACTCCTTGGCCAGTGCTGTGTACTCCTTGGCCAGTGCTGTGTACACCTTGGCCAGGTGCTGTGTACTCCTTGGCCAGGTGCTGTGTACTCCTTGGCCAGGTGCTGTGTACTCCTTGGCCAGGTGCTGTGTACTCCTTGGCCAGGTGCTGTGTACACCGTGGCCAGGTGCTGTGTACTCCTTGGCCAGGTGCTGTGTACACCTTGGCCCAGGTGCTGTGTACTCCTTGGCCAGGTGCTGTGGTACTCCTTGGCCAGGTGCTGTGTACTCCTTGGCCAGGTGCTGTGTACACCTTGGCCAGGTGCTGTGTACACCTTGGCCAGGTGCTGTGTACACCTTGGCCAGGTGCTGTGTACTCCTTGGCCAGGTGCTGTGTACACCTTGGCCAGGTGCTGTGTACACCTTGGCCAGGTGCTGTGTACTCCTTGGCCAGGAAGCCAGGAGTGTACACCTTGGCCCTCGTATATTTCCGTTATGGTCTCCCAGAATGACATTCCCCTCGTCGTCTCAGCTTTACTACACAAACTTCCTTACATTACAACTGTGCTGAGACTCATCGCTGAGGCCTGTAAGAGAGTGGGTGAGCGAGGAGTGAGAACGGCGTGTTTACCTGTCTATGGAGGGTGAGGAGGCTATGGCGCTTGCAGTACCAGTAGCAGAAGTGGGCGGCCGAGTAGAGGAGGAGCCAGGCCACCAGCACCAGCTGCCACTTCTCCTTCAGGATGAGCACCACGATGATGAAGACCCAGCCCAGCACCACCAGGAAGGCCAGCACCGCCCCCACCACACGCCACCGCATCAGGCGAGACTTGCAGGCGGGGTGCATCCCCTCTGGCACCTCCATTGTGCTCTCCTGGAGCCTCGTGTCCGCCTCCCCTGCCATGCTCCAACACTTTAGTGGCTCACTGGAGTATTCTCCCTGTGCTGAGAGGTGGTTTTATGGGATCCTGGCGTCTACAGGTCGCTTCCCATTCATGCGAAGCGAGAGAACATGTGATGACGTCCTTCCGCTGTGAAGCTTCGAGACCGACTGGCCACAGGCGGGTAGCGTAGCTCACACCTGGCGGGAGAAGCGCATGCGCAGTTAGTAGGAAGACATTGACATGGCGGCATTTATCCTACTTATTGTATTCACTTGACTCCAATTTATTTTTTAAGTGTCACTTTCACTACTTAATGCGCTGTAGGAATTGAGAATTGTAACACTAAATGTAACTTGTAATGATGCATGAGATCAGTTGAGTTGAACTCGGGATGAGGCGCCTGAAGAATGTTTACTTTTGTATCATGAATGCTGCAAGTTTCTGTCTACCATGACCTGTCTACCATGACCTGTACCTGTCTACCATGACCTGTACCTGTCTACCATGATCTGTCTACCATGACCTGTACCTGTTTACCATGACCTGTCTACCATGACCTGTACCTGTCTACCATGATCTGTTTACCATGACCTGTCTACCATGACCTGTATACCATGATCTGTCTACCATGACCTGTACCTGTCTACCATGACCTGTCTACCATGACCTGTCTACCATGACCTGTACCTGTCTACCATGACCTGTACCTGTCTACCATGATCTGTCTACCATGACCTGTACCTGTTTACCATGACCTGTCTACCATGATCTGTACCTGTCTACCATGACCTGTACCTGTCTACCATGACCTGTACCTGTCTACCATGATCTGTTTACCATGACCTGTCTACCATGACCTGTATACCATGATCTGTCTACCATGACCTGTACCTGTCTACCATGACCTGTCTACCATGACCTGTACCTGTCTACCATGATCTGTTTACCATGACCTGTCTACCATGACCTGTCTACCATGATCTGTTTACCATGACCTGTCTACCATGACCTGTCTACCATGACCTGTACCTGTCTACCATGATCTGTTTACCATGACCTGTATACCATGATCTGTCTACCATGACCTGTACCTGTCTACCATGACCTGTACCTGTCTACCATGACCTGTACCTGTCTACCATGACCTGTACCTGTCTACCATGATCTGTACCTGTCTACCATGATCTGTTTACCATGACCTGTCTACCATGACCTGTACCTGTCTACCATGATCTGTACCTGTCTACCATGATCTGTACCTGTCTACCATGACCTGTACCTGTCTACCATGACCTGTACCTGTCTACCATGACCTGTACCTGTCTACCATGACCTGTCTACCATGTACCTGTCTACCATGACCTGTCCTGTCGACTTGAGTCTTATATGTAGATGTTTGTAGACGATAAATGTGGAGAAAAAAATCAGTTGATTGACAGTTGAGAGGCGGGCCCAAAGAGCCAGAGCTCAATCCCCGCAAGCACAAGTAGGTGAATACAACTAGGTGAGTACACACACACACACACACACACACACACACACACACACACACACACACACACACACACACACACACACACACACACACACACACACACACAGGTAAGCACAACTACTGCAAGAGTTTACAGCTATATGATAACCAAGGGGCAGCAACAACTATATGATAACCAAGGGGCAGCAACAACTATATGATAACCAAGGGGCAGCAACAACTATATGATAACCAAGGGGCAGCAACAACTATATGATAACCAAGGGGCAGCAACAACTATATGATAACCAAGGGGCAGCAACAACTATATGATAACCAAGGGGCAGCAACAACTATATGATAACCAAGGGGCAGCAACAACTATATGATAACCAAGGGGCAGCAACAACTATATGATAACCAAGGGGCAGCAACAACTATATGATAACCAAGGCGCAGCAACAACTATATGATAACCAAGGGGCAGCAACAGCTATATGATAACCAAGGCGCAGCAACAACTATATGATAACCAAGGGGCAGCAACAACTATATGATACCAAGGGGCAGCAACAACTATATGATAACCAAGGGGCAGCAACAGCTATATGATAACCAAGGCGCAGCAACAACTATATGATAACCAAGGGGCAGCAACAGCTATATGATAACCAAGGCGCAGCAACAACTATATGATAACCAAGGGGCAGCAACAGCTATATGATAACCAAGGGCAGCAACAACTATATGATAACCAAGGCGCAGCAACAACTATATGATAACCAAGGGGCAGCAACAGCTATATGATAACCAAGGGGCAGCAACAACTATATGATAACCAAGGAGCAGCAACAGCTATATGATAACCAAGGGGCAGCAACAGCTATATGATAACCAAGGGGCAGCAACAGCTATATGATAACCAAGGGGCAGCAACAACTATATGATAACCAAGGCGCAGCAACAGCTATATGATAACCAAGGGGCAGCAACAGCTATATGATAACCAAGGCGCAGCAACAACTATATGATAACCAAGGGGCAGCAACAACTATATGATAACCAAGGCGCAGCAACAACTATATGATAACCAAGGAGCAGCAACAACTATATGATAACTAAGGCGCAGCAACAACTATATGATAACCAAGGCGCAGCAACAACTATATGATAACCAAGGAGCAGCAACAGCTATATGATAACCAAGGGGCAGCAGCAACAGCTATATGATAACCAAGGGGCAGCAACAGCTATATGATAACCAAGGGGCAGCAATATGATAACCAATGTTTACACGGTGATAACTTTACGGAAAAAACCCAACACAAACATCGTATGACAGTTAAAGGAGAAAATGCTCAAAACCGGACAATTTGGGAGAGAGGAAATGCTCGGGGTAGTTTAACCACAGGTGCACCCAGCAACTACATTCCTCACCCAATCAACGTTTTGCCTGACCAGATAGTTTTCCTACTATCCTTCTTTAATAGTGACGTCTTTGACCTACAGCTTCCTGTGACAATGTATAATACAGATGCATTGCGTAAGTTGGTATTATACAATTTGTTTTTTTACTGCAAATACATTTTTATTATTGAATTAGTTGTACCCGGCCACACGTTGCTGTGGCTACAGCAATCCTCTTCCGGTCTCCCAGTCCTCCCCCACTATTTCCCCCCTCCCCATCCCCTCGTCCTCCCCACCATTCCCCACTCCCTCGTCCCCTGGTCCTCCCCACCATTCCCCACTCCCCCTCGTCCCCTGGTCCTCGTCCTCCCCACCATTCCCCACTCCCTCGTCCCCTCGTCCTCCCCACCATTCCCCACTCCCTCGTCCGATGCATTCCCAAATGATCTGATGTTCCCATCACAAAATTGAGAACATCAAATGATCTGATCTTCCCATCACTGAGATATAAGAAAAACAATTAAAAAACGAAACGAAAAACTATGAAAAATTAAAAAACATAAACTATACTCAGGAAATGAACGGTATGGTAAACAACACAGCTCAATTCCAATGCAATGTCACACAAAATAATAAAATCAAAATGAAAATAAATAGAAATAAATCTATGAAAATTCAATTTATTAATGCAATCGGAAACATTGAAATGGAATTCGTAACATATTTAGTATAGCGTGTGTGTTGATATTACGTCAAACAGATGGCACCGTTTAAAAAAAAAAAAAAATGTTTTTACCTGTCACAGGTGTGGTATCTATATAGTAGGTCTATAAAAACACGCCCATATTCGAATTGGAATTTCAAAGCAATCAGTGAAGAACTCTGGGAGATAACAGCGTATGTTGTTCTTACATCCAAAAGATGACACTGTTTAAACAACAAATATTTTTGTCCTGTCACAGGTGAGACATGTATATAGTAGGTATATAAAAACACGCGCCTATTTGAATGCAACGTCGTGTCAAAATTTCAAAGCAATCGGTAAAGAGGTTTCGAATATTTCTCTCACATGAAAAACACAGTTTTTCAAAAGAAGCATGTGTGTTTTCCGTCTCAGACGTGACATCTATATAGTAGGTATATAAAAACCCGCTCGGATGTGAATGGAACATTGTGTGAAAATTTCAAAGCAATCGGTGAAGAACTTTCTCAGATTAGCGGTTTTGAACAAACCAACATTTCCATTTTTATTTATATAGATCATTAAGAAATTCAAGGAATCTGTTGTTTTAAAAGTATGTATCAACGTATATGTAATTATAATGTGCTCTGTCGTCGACATGATGATAGACGTCAGACACAGAGAGGACACAGAGGACAAAAAAGACATTAGTTAAATTCTAAAAGGCCAGTATGAGGCTATGTTTAGTACCCCCATTAATAACATTAAAGTTAAGGATCCAGACAGCTTCTTTATGAATGACATTCAAGCTGCAGATAATATACCCGATATTAACACGAACTCGGAAGACTTTGAAAGAGAAATTGACACTATGCCCATGCACTCAGCCCCTGGTCCTGACTCGTGGAATTCAATATTCATAAAGAAATGTAAAGTACCAGTAGCGCGAGCGTTCAGCGTACTATGGAGAAAGAGCCTGGATACAGGGAAGATACCAGCAGCACTTAAATCTACAGATATAGCTCCTCTGCACAAGAGGGGTAGTAAAGCCTTGGCAAAAAATTATAGATCGGTTGCACTAACATCACACATAATAACAGTTTTTTAAAGAGTGATTAGGAATCAAATTTCCAGTTTTATGGAAAATAATGAGTTACACAACCCAGGGCAACATGGATTTAGAGCGGGAAGATCCTGTCTGTCACAGTTACTCAACCACTATGACGAAATCACAGAAGCCTTAGAGGAAAAGCAAAATGCAGATGTTGTATACACAGACATTGCAAAGGCGTTCGACAAATGTGACCATGGAGTGATAGCACACAAAATGAGATCAATAGGAATAATGGGTAAAGTGGGGTGTTGGATTTTCAACTTTCTGTCAAACAGAATGCAGAGAGTGACGGTAAATCGAGTAAGATCAAGCCCAAGTGCAGTGAAAAGCTCTGTTCCCCAAGAGTGGTGGGGGGGGGGGGGAGGGGAGGGGGTACAGGGGGCCCCTGACAGCTGAGTGTACAGCGCTCGGGATTCGTAGTCCTGAGGCTCCGGGTTCGATCCCCGGTGGAGGAGGAAACAAAGGGCCAAAGCTTTTTTCACCCTGATGTACCTGTTCACCTAGCAGTAAATAGTAACCTGGGAGTTAGACAGCTGCTACGGACTGCTTCCTGGGGGTGTGTAACAAAAAGGCCAGGTCGAGGACCGGGCCGCGGGGACGCTAGGCCCCGAAATCATCTCAAGATAACCTCAAGAAGATAACCCCAGGGCACAGCAGTCCTTGTACCTCTGCTATTTCTCCTTCTTATCCCTGATATTAACTAAACACTAGACACCCCTTCGTGTCATCCTTGGCAGATGATAACAAAAATCAGCATGAAAATTGCCACTGTAGAAGACACTGAACAACTACAGGCAGATATAAATAAAATATTCGATTGGACAACTATAATAAATACTGTAATAATAATCATTTTTTATTCAGGAAAAGTACATATATAGTTGGTTTACAAACATAATGTTGGATTTATAGCTAGAGCTGGTACAAACTGAAAACAACATGATGTTTAACGGTGATAAGTTCCAGGTACTGAGGTATGGTGGAAACGAGGAACTTAAACGAAACACAGGACACAGGGTACAGGACACAGGGTACAGGACACAGGGTACAGGACACAGGGTACAGGACACAGGGTACAGGACGCAGTCAGATCTACTCATAGAAGGAAAGCAAAATGTAAAGGATCTGGGAATTATGATGTCTGACGACCTGACATTTAGTGAACATAACCGAGCAAATATAGCGGCGGCGGCCAGGAAAATGATAGGATGGATTATGAGAACGTTCAAATCCAGAGACCCCACAGCAATGGTAACACTATTTAAATCACTGGTGCTGTCCTGTCTTGAGTACTGCTCGGTACTCACTTTCCCTTTCAGAGTGGGAGAGATCTCTGAATTAGAGGGAATACAGAGTACATGGCACGCATAGACACGATAAAACATCTAAATTATTGGGACCGTCTCAAAGCTCTCAAAATGTACTGTCTGGAAAGGAGACGAGAAAGGTATCAAATAATATATACATGGAAGATACTGGAGGGCCAGGTCCCAAATTTGCACAGTAGAATAACAACATACTGGAGCGAAAGATATGGAAGGAAATGCAGAATAGAACTATTCACACCTACTTATTGAGTAGAGGTGCCATAAACACAATCAGAGAACACTGCCTGAACATCAGAGGTCACACAACTGTTCAACACACTCCCAGCAAGCATTAGAAATTTTGCCGGAACAAAGGTGGATGTCTTCAAGAGGCACTTGGACAGGTTCTTGCAAGAAGTGCCGGACCAAGTTATCACAAGTCGAGCCTGGCCTCAGGCAGGGCTCGGGGAGTAGACCAACTCTCGAAACCCTCTCCAGGTATGCTCCAGGTATGCTTCAGGTATGCTCCAGGTATACTCCAGGTATGCTCCAAATATGTTCTTCCTGGATGATACAATGTCTAAATTTAGCGCATTGATGTCAACAAATTCCGTGTTTCCTGCAGTCACATTGCCACATCTCCGGTTTAACATGGAAATAATAGACTAGAGAAAGAAGAATCGTGAGGGAGAAAGGACACAAGGATAGGCCCCGAGGACGGGAGAGAGGCGCGGTGCGCACCTGTGGAACACACAGCAAGGATGACACCTCTGCCTCCTTCCACCGGTGCTCCTGGCCATCTCCTCAGCTGCTTCTTTCTCGCCAAGATGAAGGCGTTCACCGCCTCCCGCTCGACTGACACAGCCAGAGTTAGTTCTTGACGCAAGGGACGCGAGCCCCCGGGCTGAAGCAGGCACGGAGAGCAGCTAGTGGATGGCGTGCTGGTCTCTCCCGTGTGACGGTGGAGGCTGGCAGCAAAAAGTGGACGGACGTGATGTGTGAGGAGTTGGCAGTGTTTACGTCAGTCACACACACCACTGACTTCCTCTTAGGGGTCAGCTGGAAGGTCAGTCAGCTCGTGCGCCCCTGGCGGCCAGCGCCACGTCTCTTCATAGATGTTTAAACTAGAAAACATGTCACGATGATAGTTTTGTTGATCTCTCACATGCTACGTTCACCCTCTTCCCCCCGTCACGAAACATGTTCAACCTCTTCCCCCCGTCACGAAACATGTTCAACCTCTTCCCCCCGTCACGAAACATGTTCAACCTCTTCCCCCCGTCACGAAACATGTTCAACCTCTTCCCCCCGTCACGAAACATGTTCAACCTCTTCCCCCCGTCACGAAACATGTTCAACCTCTTCCCCCCGTCACGAAACATGTTCAACCTCTTCCCCCCCGTCACGAAACATGTTCAACCTCTTCACCCCGTCACGAAACATGTTCAACCTCTTCCCCCCGTCACGAAACATGTTCAACCTCTTCACCCCGTCACGAAACATGTTCAACCTCTTCACCCCGTCACGAAACATGTTCAACCTCTTCACCCCGTCACGAAACATGTTCAACCTCTTCACCCCGTCACGAAACATGTTCAACCTCTTCCCCCCGTCACCAAACATGTTCAACCTCTTCACCACCAAACATGTTCAACTCCCCCCCCCCCCCCCTAGACGTTCTAGACCGTAGAAACTAGACTATTATTATCTATGGTGGCGTCTCATCCCTAATCCTTATCCTGACCCCTTCCAAGTGCTGTATGGTCGTAATGGCTTGGCACTTCCCTCCCCTGATAGTTCCCCTCCCTGTCCCCTTGTCATCCTATCTGGCACTGGCACGCAAGACACGGCACTAACACCGAGTCACGGACGCCGTGCCCGCCTCAACTACCTATTAACGCACCATTAACAAGGCTAACGAGAGCTGTCACGGCCGAACGAACACACAACCTCACTAATATAAGATATACATTTAAATAAAAACATAAATTAATATTTTCTTGTGAGTGTTATTTTCCTATAAGAACACTTGGCATATATGAATACTCTAAGTGTGAAGAGTGTGCAAGGAAGACCATTAATGTATTACATGTTATTGCTATTTATTTTAGACATGACTCGAGGAGAAGACATGTGAGACACTAGACAGATATGACCAGGATCTTCAACACTCATGATGCTGGACGCTGGACTGTGTCTACCATGTATCATGTCCAGTACCCCTCTCCCCACCCCCCTACACTCACCCCCATCACCCCCCCACCCCTCTACACTCACCCCCATCACCCCCCACCCCTCTACACTCACCCCCATCACCCCCCTACACTCACCCCCATCACCCCCCACCCCTCTACACTCACCCCCATCACCCCCCACCCCTCTACACTCACCCCCATCACCTCCCACCCCTCTACACTCACCCCCATCACCCCCCACCCCTCTACACTCACCCCCATCACCCCCCCCTCTACACTCACCCCCATCACCCCCACCCCTCTACACTCACCCCCATCACCCCCCACCCCTCTACACTCACCCCCATCACCCCCCACCCCTCTACACTCACCCCATCACCCCCACCCCTCTACACTCACCCCCCACCCCTCTACACTCACCCCCACCCCTCTACACTCACCCCCATCACCCCCCACCCCTCTACACTCACCCCCATCACCCCCCACCCCTCTACACTCACCCCCATCACCCCCCACCCCTCTACACTCACCCCCATCACCCCCCACCCCTCTACACTCACCCCCATCACCCCCCACCTATAACCAGTAGCACCACCACCACCAGGAGCCACCACCAACACCACCAGGAGCCACCACCAGCAGCACCAGGGACCACCACCAGCAGCACTAGCAACAGTGAGAGTCAACCCACTCCCGGGGTCCTGACACACTCTCAAACAACCAGAGGACATGAACACACGAATGTTGCTCTCCTGCGAAGGTGGTGAGGGTAGGTGGCACCCAGCTGGTGAGGGTAGGTGGCACCCAGCTGGTGAGGGTAGGTGGCACCCAGCTGGTGAGGGTAGGTGGCACCCAGCTGGTGAGGGTAGGTGGCACCCAGATGGTGAGGGTAGGTGGCACCCAGCTGGTGAGGGTAGGTGGCACCCAGCTGGTGAGGGTAGGTGGCACCCAGCTGGTGAGGGTAGGTGGCACCCAGGTAGGTGGCACCCAGGCAGGTGGCACCCAGGTAGGTGGCACCAAGGCAGGTGGCACCCAGGCAGGTGGCACCCAGGCAGGTGGCACCCAGGCAGGTGGCACGCAGGCAGGTGGCACCCAGGCAGGTGGCACCCAGGCAGGTGGCACGCAGGCAGGTGGCACCCAGGCAGGTGGCACCCAGGTAGGTGACACCCAGGCAGGTGGCACCCAGGCAGGTGGCACCCAGGCAGGTGGCACCCAGGCAGGTGGCACGCAGGCAGGTGGCACCCAGGTAGGTGGCACCCAGGCAGGTGGCACCCAGGCAGGTGGCACCCAGGTAGGTGGCACCCAGGCAGGTGGCACCCAGGCAGGTGGCACCCAGGCAGGTGGCACCCAGGCAGGTGGCACCCAGGCAGGTGGCACCCAGGCAGGTGGCACGCAGGCAGGTGGCACCCAGGTAGGTGGCACCCAGGCAGGTGGCACCCAGGCAGGTGGCACCCAGGCAGGTGGCACCCAGGTAGGTGGCACCCAGGCAGGTGGCACCCAGGCAGGTGGCACCCAGGTAGGTGGCACCCAGGCAGGTGCACCCAGGCAGGTGGCACCCAGGCAGGTGGCACCCATGCAGGTGGCACCCAGGCAGGTGGCACCCAGGCAGGTGGCACCCAGGCAGGTGGCACGCAGGCAGGTGGCACCCAGGCAGGTGGCACCCAGGCAGGTGGCACCCAGGCAGGTGGCACCCAGGCAGGTGGCACCCAGGCAGGTGGCCTTGGGGGAGCCCTGCCACCATCCATTCATCCATCAGCCCGACACGGGACGCCTCGCGCTATATCAGGAAAAGTATGTCTGGTCCCGCTCCCCGTTATACCCTTGGTATAGCTGGTATACCCGGCCGTTATACCCTTGGTATAGCTGGTATACCCGGCCAGCACCGTATCCTCCCCGGGAGCCCTTGAGGGGGGCTTTGCCCCACCCCAGGGGAGGGGGGGGGGCGCTGCCCCGCCCCAGGGAGGGGGGCGCTGCCCCGCCCCAGGGAGGGGGGCGCTGCCCCGCCCCAGGGAGGGGGGGGGGCGCTGCCCCCTCAGTGAACTCTTATGGGAAGACCATTTGCCGTTTTTCTGTTGATTTTTTGCTTGTTTTGTTTTGGAGCGACGTGACGGCCAGTGAGGACACGTCCGCTCCTCTGGCGTCCTGTTTATATATAGAGAGGTGAGAGCAGGGGAGAGGTGAGAGCAGGGGAGAGGTGAGAGCAGGGGAGAGGTGAGAGCAGGGGAGAGGTGAGAGCAGGGGAGAGGTGAGAGCAGGGGAGAGGTGAGAGCAGGGGAGAGGTGAGAGCAGGAGAGAGGTGGGAGCAGGGGAGAGGTGAGAGCAGGGAAGAGGTGAGAGCAGGGGAGAGGTGAGAGAGAGCAGGGGAGAGGTGAGAGCAGGGGAGAGGTGAGAGCAGGGAGAGGTGAGAGCAGGGGAGAGGTGAGAGCAGGGAAGAGGTGAGAGCAGGGGAGAGGTGAGAGAGAGCAGGGGAGAGGTGAGAGCAGGGGAGAGGTGAGAGCAGGGGAGAGGTGAGAGCAGGGGAGAGGTGAGAGCAGGGGAGAGGTGAGAGCAGGGGAGAGGTGAGAGCTAATCGTCCTAGCTGACGCATTTTTCGTCTTATTTTCAAGACGTATTCGCTCATTGACGTGAGACGTTAAGTTAGCATAAGTAACCAAGAATTAGGATAATTTAGGATTTGTTAGGTTAGATCAGGCAAAATTTGTAGAGCGTAGGTGTGGTTTTAAGTCAAGAGAGACTAAGTACCATGAGATTAAGTTAGACGACGTTAAGTCAGCTTAAGCTTGGTTAAACTTGGTTAGACCAGACTTGTTTAGCGTTGTGAACCGCGGCCGACTGACTCGAATTTTAAGTGTGTGATACAAGCATCTCGCTGTATCCTGGTCGGGGTGTGTGGGTGTGGTTGCACTATGGGAGAATCCTGGTGGTGGGTGCGGCTTCTGGTTGCATTATGGGAGGAGTTTAGCGTGGGAGAAGGCGTGGTTCCAGCTCACATTATCATGGGAGCCTGGCTCCTATGGGGGTGAGTTTTTGTTTACACTGGCGGTGAATCCTGTTATAAGCGATGGTGTGGCTCTGGCTTGCGTTATAACAGGATCGTGAGGTGGGCGTGAGCGCATCAGCCCCGGCCGGAGCCATCCCTGTTCTGCAACATCCTGCTATATCCTTCAATATCCTGCAACGTCTGCCTCCCCCCTCATCCCTCATCCCAGCCAGCCCGTCCCCATGGTCGCCTAGGTAGACTCGGTTTAAAGATATCTTTGTTAATGTCTCATAAATTTTCCCTGATGCCTCATATTCCAGGCACCTGATGCCTCATGTGTCAGGCAGCTGATGCCTCATATGTCAGGCACCTGATGCCTCATGTGTCAGGCACCTGATGCCTTATATGTCAGGCACCTGATGCCTCAGGTGTCAGGCACCTGATGCCTCATATGTCAGGCACCTGATGCCTCATGTGTCAGGCACCTAATGCCTCATGTGTCAGGCACCTGATGCCTCATATGTCAGGCACCTGATGCCTCATATGTCAGGCACCTGATGCCTCATATGTCAGGCACCTGATGCCTCATGTGTCAGGCACCTAATGCCTCATATGTCAGGCACCTGATGCCTCATATGTCAGGCACCTGATGCCTCATATGTCATACACCTGATGCCTCAGGTGTCAGGCAGCTGATGCCTCATATGTCAGACACCTGATGCCTCATATGTCAGGCACCTGATGCCTCATATGTCAGGCACCTGATGCCTCATATGTCAGGCACCTGATGCCTCATATGTCAGGCACCTAATGCCTCATATGTCAGGCACCTAATGCCTCATATGTCAGGCACCTGATGCCTCATATGTCAGGCACCTGATGCCTCATATGTCAGGCACCTGATGCCTCATATGTCAGGCACCTGATGCCTCATATGTCAGGCACCTGATGCCTCATATGTCAGGCACCTAATGCCTCATATGTCAGGCACCAGATGCCTCATATGTCAGGCACCTGATGCCTCATATGTCAGGCACCTGATGCCTCATATGTCAGGCACCTGATGCCTCATATGTCAGGCACCTGATGCCTCATATGTCAGGCACCTGATGCCTCATATGTCAGACACCTGATGCCTCAGGTGTCAGGCAGCTGATGCCTGGACTCAGGGTGCTGAAGCAGCTGGAGACTCCGCTACAACTTCGTCAGCGTCTCCTGAGAGAAGCCAGGTGCCCCGGGGCGGTGAGGTCTCCCGCCCAGCAGGAAGGGAGACCACCAGAGACGCCCGGAGACGGGTGACACGCAAGACATGAGGCGGAAGAGGAAGGCGGGAGAGACGGGAGAACCCGGAAGAGGAAGCTGGCGAGGAGACATGATGGAAGTGTGGCAAAGTTACCGTTGGAGGAAAGAAAACGGGAGAGAGAGAGAGAGAGAGAGAGAGAGAGAGAGAGAGAGAGAGAGAGAGAGAGAGAGAGAGAGAGAGAGAGAGAGAGAGAGAGAGAGAGAGAGAGAGAGGGAGGGTAAGAGAGAGAGAGAGAGAGAGAGAGAGAGAGAGAGAGAGAGAGAGAGAGAGAGAGAGAGAGAGAGAGAGAGAGAGACAGAGAGACAAAGAGAGAGGGAGAGAGAGAGGAGGGTAAGAGAAGGGGCACCACTCGTCACGGAGGCAGAAGGGAGACGGTGGAAGCAGAATTATTATGCAAATAATTGTGGCCATGAAAGAAGGATGTTAAGTGTTTAATGGAAGGTCCAGTAGAGGGGGTGACGACCCCCAGCAGGTCCAGTAGAGGGGAGACGACCCCCAGCAGGTCCAGTAGAGGGGGAGACGACCCCCAGCAGGTCCAGTAGAGGGGGTGACAACCCCCAGCAGGTCCAGTAGAGGGGGTGACGACCCCCAGCAGGTCCAGTAGAGGGGGTGACAACCCCCAGCAGGTCCAGTAGAGGAAATATACAGGTGGGAAAGCAGTGAGAGAAGACGAGGAGGAGGAGGAGCAGGGAACCAAGGAAGGACAGGTAAATACGAGTAGACAGAAGCAGGAAGATAAACAGGAAGAGACGGAGACAAGGAAGCTTTGTAGAAGCGATCATAGACGAGGACGTGGGAGACAAAATGGAGAAAGAGAACTGAAGAGGAGGCAGAGGAAGAGGAGGCAGAGGAAGAGGAGGCCGGTGGCAAGAAGTGGAAAGTAGAAACTGAGGAAATGAACCCGTTGACAGAGATGAAAGGCTGTAGACCAAGTCTTATTGTGGGGCGGAACACTTGGAATACTAATGGAGAGAGAGAGAGAGAGAGAGAGAGAGAGAGAGAGAGAGAGAGAGAGAGAGAGAGAGAGAGAGAGAGAGAGAGAGAGAGAGAGAGAGAGAGAGAGAGAGAGAGGAGAGAGAGAGAGAGAGAGAGAGAGAGAGAGAGAGAGGAGAGAGAGAGAGCCCACCACCGGCCACACAGTGGGCCACCACCTGCCACACAGTGGGCCCACCACAGGCCACACAGTGGGCCCACCACCGGCCACACAGTGGGCCCACCACCGGCCACACAGTGGGCCCACCACTGGCCACACAGTGGGCCCACCACCGGCCACACAGTGGGCCCACCACCGGCCACACAGTGGGCCCACCACCGGACACACAGTGGGCCCACCACCGGACAAACAGGGGCCCACCACCGGCCACACAGTGGGCCCACCACCGGACACACAGTGGGCCCACCACCGGACACACAGTGGGCCCACCACCGGACACACAGTGGGCCCACCACTGGACACACAGTGGGCCCACCACCGGACAAACAGGGGCCCACCACCGGCCACACAGTGGGCCCACCACCGGACACACAGTGGGCCCACCACCGGACACACAGTGGGCCCACCACCGGACACACAGTGGGCCCACCACCGGACACACAGTGGGCCCACCACTGGACACATAGTGGGCCCACCACCGGACACACAGTGGGCTCCTGATCGCGTATTTAAGCCACTCAGGTCCATATAAACAATATTTCTAATAACATCTGTCAAAATAACGAGTGAAGACCCTGGCCGTGGAGGCAGAGTATTTTGACACAGGAAAGCTGTCAGCATAGCAGAAGCATGTCAAATAATGCCATTTAAAGGCAGTGGGGAATTCTGGTGACCTTTCCAGATTTTTTTTTTATTAACATATTAGGTCCATCTGCATTAGTGCAGCTACCCTAGACTATATGAAGTGGAGTACAATGTGTCAAAAAAAAAGCTAACTAGGTGATGCTAAAAAATCCCCATCACACAGGATGGTTAGTCATACAGAGGCATGTGATAAGCGGTCTGCACTGGCAGACTCCGGATGCATTTTGAGGATATCAACAACACAAGATTGAATAAGGCAGCAGTGGTAATACAAGTCCCCATCTCGCAGGATGGTTAGTCATACGGAGCCATGTGTTTAATAGCCTGCACTGGCAAATTTTGGGTATACTGTGAGGACATCTTCAAGAATACGAGAGTGAATAAAGTAATTTCAAAGCTCCAGGTACCTCATGCCAACTGGTCTGAAAGGTCTAATGACTGGGCATTCAGTGATGTAGTGCGGGAGATAATGCCGTAGTTCCTGCTCATAGAGTTTGCAACTGGAGTGCTCAGGATTGGGAGACCCGTCACCTGCAGCCACCTGCCACAGGTAACGGTAACCCAACCTGATCCTTGCAACCACTGTGTCGCACAGTCTAGTGGACGTTTTGTGCTGTCCATAGATGTAGGTTTCAGATCTGAACAAATCATAGCTTCATGACCTTTCCAGAGCAGTTAATTCATTATAAAAATTATAAAAAGTCTACGGACTGTGCCCGCCACTTTTCAGTATCAATGTCTATCATTAACTTGCCATATTTTCGGTTCTATGAATTTCACCGTCAAGGGCAGCTGCGGGGTTTGAACACGTCGTGAACACTCATAGTTAAGTGAACACTGTGCACTGTTACAGTGAGGGACTAACAGTGCACTCCACGGATCAAATACAGGGTCCCGGGTTCGATTCCGGGCACCGGCGAGAAACAATGGGCAGCGTTTCTTTCACCCTGATGAAAGAAACCTTGTTCTCTTTCACCCCTGTTACCTAGCAGTAAATAGGTACCTGGGAATTAGTCAGCTGTCACGGGCTGCTACACTAAGCCCCGAAATCATCTCAAGATAACCTCAAGATAACCAGGGTTAAGAGGAAGTACAGAGACTAAGAAGTGTTTCAAAAGTGACATTGTACCCGCTAAGTTCATAATATCCTGGAAGGATCTTATCCATGGCAAGGAGATTGACACCTTCTTTGCAAAGTGAGCTTTACAATATACTTTGCAAAGCAAAGGTCAAATGGCAAAAGTTTTCCAATGCACACTGTACTCACCTACTTGTGTCTGCAGGATCGAGCACTGACTCTTAGATCCCGCCTCTCGAGCCATCGGTTGTTTACAGCAGTGACTCCTGTGCTGTACAAAGTGTGCACTGCCTGTCTGTGTTGAAGGTGGCTACCCACTTTCTGTACTGTGAAAAGTAACTGACTTTATCACAGTTACTTTTACAGTGTCCTGTTACACTGGTGAACAGGAATCAACAGGACCTGTTCACCACTGGCTAACATGAACAGATGCTAACCTAACCTCTAGTCCAAGGACGCATTAAGCAGGGATAGGCCGGCGGGGAAGGAACGGTGCCCCATCCACTTTTGAGTTACCGGGGATCGAACCCCGACCTGCAAGACACGAGGCCGCCGCTGTAGCCAGCACCCCAGCTCACCTCTCACTGGAGCTCCCGCGCTTCATGACCAATTAATTAGTATTACTAATACCAAGATGAGATAATTATTGATGATGAGATAATTAATGTATCATAAGTGTCATTTGTCTCGTGGGGACCTCTTTGATAAGACCAGGGGAGGTCTTATCTAAGACGTAAGTGGTCAGGGGAGGTCTTATCTAAGAGGTAAGTGGTCAGGGAAGGTCTTAACTAAGAGGTAAGTGGCCAGGGATGGTCTTAACTAAGAGGTAAGTGGCCAGGGAAGGTCTTAACTAAGAGGTAAGAGGCCAAGGAAGGTCTAAACTAAGAGGTAAGTGGCCAGGGAAGGTCTTAACTAAGAGGTAAGTGGCCAGGGAAGGTCTTAACTAAGAGGTAAGAGGCCAAGGAAGGTCTAAACTAAGTGGTCTGGGAAGGTCTTCACTAAGAGGTAAGTGGTCTGGGAAGGTCTTAACTAAGAGGTAAGTGGTCAGGGGAGGTCTTAACTAAGAGGTAAGTGGTCAGGGAAGGTCTAGACTAAGAGATAAGTGGTCAGGGAAGGTCTTAACTAAGAGGTAAGTGGTCAGGGAAGGTCTAGACTAAGAGGTAAGTGGTCAGGGAAGGTCTAGACTAAGAGGTAAGTGGTCAGGGAAGGTCTTAACTAAGAGGTAAGTGGTCAGGGAAGGTCTTAACTAAGAGGTAAGTGGATCTAAACTGAGATCAATGTTGTTCAAGATCCCCCCCCCCCCCGTGAGGGCAAAGGGCAGTGAGGGTCTGATGACACCTGTCATGTCATATACGACAAGCATGCCTATCAGGTATGACAGGGCCGCCTGTCCGACTCGCCAGGTATTTCAGGCACGACAGACATGCATGCCACGCTGGCCTAAGTTATACCACTTGTATATATTAAGTACAATAACAATAACATCGCTTCAAGTATAATTTAAATCCTCTCCAGTGATTTGTTTCATTCGACCCCGTAATATATCTTCAGGATATCTCACTTGATAACCGCAGGAATATCTCGTTAGCACCATGTTCGGAGAGATATCTCGCCCTGGCATGATATCCAAGAAGATATCTGTCTAGAACGGTGTCCAGAGAGAGATACATCGCCCCAACAAGGTGTTCAGACTCGAAACGCCCTGACACGACCGGACATACAGTCAGGTCAATTGGCCTCGACCCGGCGTCTGACCCGACGTCTAAATTGGCCTCGACCCGGCGGAACATCGCAGGGCGTACCCGACGTCTAAATTGGCCTCGACCGTGTGGTGTTGGAGGAACATCGCAGGGCGTAGCGTGTGGTGTTGGAGGAACATCGCAGGGCGTAGCGTGTGGTGTTGGAGGAACATCGCAGGGCGTAGCGTGTGGTGTTGGAGGAACATCGCAGGGCGTAGCGTGTGGTGTTGGAGGAACCACAGAGCTGCGCGTAGTCACGCAGGGCGTAGCGTGTGGTGTTGGAGCACAGAGCTGCGCTGGTCACGCTGAGGGGTGAAGAACACGCCAAAGGGGACCCCTGAGGCCGTCCTTAGCCAGTCACCGTCTTTAAAAAGCGTATCTGGCGGGAAAAGTGTGACACCTCCCTTTGGGCGTTGTTAACGAGGAGACCACAACTGGATCGTTGTTGGGGTGGAGTGATGGACCCCAAGACTTCCCTTTTGGTTGGGAGGAGTCGGTCCTCGGGTCATTCCACAACAGTGTCTATAAAAGCATTCCTGAAGGGAAAGTGTCATTCTGTGGTGATGGTGGATGGTGCAAGGCGAGAGGAAGGATGGGGGTGAAGAGTTAGTCCGATAGAGGAACTTGCAGAAGAGGAAGATGCAAAGAGAACATTCAGGATGAACTTGGAGATGAAGATGTGGCGAGGAAAGAGAATAGAGAGAAGGAATAGTTCGAGAACAGGTGATAAAGAGTGGAGAACATGATATAGAGATAGAGAGAAAAGTGAGAGAAACTGAGAGACGGGCTAGGGAGGACGAAGAAGAGGAGGGAAGGTAACTGAGAGAGAGAGAAGAGAGAGATGCAAGAAGGGACTTAGAGAACGACCTGAGTAGAGTCAGACGACCAGGTTCCTCACGCTAAGCTGGTCTCACTAACACTAATACGACCAGACGCATCACAACACTAGACGGGTGAGTGAGAATGGTGAAGGTAGAAGAGATGGTTGTGAAGGTAGAGGAGATGGTTGTGAAGAAAGCTGTAGAGTATGTCGTTTTAAGACATAACAATAAAAGCCTCAGCACCACCATCACGTCTGTGAAAAATCTGTGTTGTAATGTCTGACCAACCAGCCTGTAATGTGTAGCAGAGGCACACCCTAAGTCAAGGTACAACATGAAAATCGCAACCAACATTTTCTGGAGGAGAGGAGGCCTGGTCGAGGACCGGGCCGCGGGGACGTGGAGCCCCGAAATCATGGCAAGGTAACCAATGGGCTGTCAGCGCCCTGTGCTAACCGCTAAGCTGTAACTGGCGTTACCTGTACTATCCAGGTAGTAACAATGGCTGGCCTGAAGCTTCTTTAAAAAGTTATAAGCTTTTAATTTGCTTTAAAATTTGCCTTTTATTTGCTTTAAGTGAGTTAAACAATTCTGTATTTCGTGAATATAACTTAAAAAGTGTTTTATTCTTGTGTATATCACCGGAATAAATGTTTAATAACAACATTATAACTTGATGATTATGTAAACTTGGGAAAACTGAATTAATAAAAAAAGCCTAGTGCCTAAAAAATTCATATGTCCTCAGCGTTATACCTGAATTTACATGAAAGCCGCCATTTCTATAGTGGAAGCCTCGAAGGGTAAAAAAAGCCGGGGGACTTGGTATATAAAACAAAAGGATTTGTATTAGTTGAATGGTCGAATGAAAATAGATTGATTACCCGCCTTGGACAGCAGGTTACTGCAACGTCCATATATGCAGGCGATGAGTCACAATAACGTGGCTGAAGTATCCTTGTGATGAGGAGGTATTCTACCTCCTCATCACAATCGACTTGAAAATGGTCCAGGACGGACCGAAACGTCGTCGTCCCTTCAACTTCTAGTGTGTGGTCTGGTCAACGTCCATATACTTTTTTTTTTGAGATATATACAAGAGTTGTTACATTCTTGTAGAGCCACTAGTACGCGTAGCGTTTCGGACAGTTTCTGCCCGAAAGACAACTTCTTAATTAAGACAACAATTAAAACAACTTCTTAATTAGATACACAAAACATGTTGAAAAGACAAATTGCCTTCAGTGCGCTTATCCCAACGTGTCTAACCAAGCCCAACCTAGACTAACCTAACGTATCTAAACAGAATGCAACCAACTCTAATTTCATTAGACCTAGTTGATTAATTAAGACCAAGCTTAACTTAATCACACTAAACCTAGTCTAAACTCACACTAAAGCCTACACTAATCCAACTAAGCCTAGCCTCTGCAAACAAACCTAACGTAATTAACTTATCGTAATCTAAACTAACTAGACCAATACTACTGGAGCCTAACTGAGGGCATTACACCAACACAACCCATGCTCGGCGGCTCTCACATTATAACAATCAACTTTTTATAAGTCTACCTCACCAGCCGCAAATCACCAGAACAAAAAAAAAAGACAAAATATATAAATAAGTACAGAGGCAATCAAATTTAAATATTTTTATCTCTAAATAAATACTATTAGAGAACTATTGCTTGGGACAACAGATATACGTAATCATCACAATGAGGCTTTTGATAATGCAATTGGAAGCGCGGGAAGAGTGGCGTTGTTGGTGGAGGAAGTGTTGGGGAGGGAGGGTGGCTGGAGGAACAAGAGGGAGGAGAGATTGATGGAGGAGAGCTCGGGAGGAGGGAGGGATGGAAGGGGAGGGATGGAAGGGGGGGTAGAGAGGGCTGTGGGTGGCGTCGTGGGACCAGTTTTTGCGCGGCTCCGACAGGAAAGCTGTTCTACCCAGCCGCCCGGGAGTTCCCCGTGGTCTCCGGCCCCGATGACAGCGCCGCCGCCGCCACACCCACCAAAAAAAAAGAATGAACCAAACGGTAGAAAACATGGCGGTTATTTCGATTATCTTTGATTCTGTAATATATTTATAGTGTTGAAGAATGCAGATGGCGCGAGAAGATGCAGGTAGGTGGAGTTAGCGGTGGCAGGAGGCTGGCTGGTAGCAGTCTCCTGGTGGTGGGGTCGGAGGCAAGAATTCCGCTCGGTAAAAAGGTATTCAAGGACATGTATTCACCAGCAAGCAGTCGCTCTAAGACGCCACGTTACCAAGACCAGCTCATCCGAGCCCATTAACTGCGAGCAAATATGTCTACCAATACCAAGATTAAAGCCTCACACTAACCTAATATTCTCACAAAGTCCAGGATCAAAGAATTGAAAAACGAGAAAAATGGAATGTTGCCTCAGCACGCTAAAAATTGTATTTAATCTCAGGAAGATGATTATTATAGTCGGGCGCCCATGTCCCATGCCAGCACAGTCCCCCCTGGCACCTGGGCTCCTCCGCCCACTCTCCCTGACAGTCATCACAGCTTTCTGGAGCTTTCCTTTCATGCCAAAAAAAATTATAAAGGTTTCTGGAACAAATTAATATTCCCGGAGTTGCTTCACCGGACTGTTTGTATAAGCGCTCGCCAAGGTTGGTCATGTGACGCGCTGTCTTTCATGTTTGTGGCCAGCCCACCACGCCCATGTTGCTGGCCTGCCCACCACGCCCATGTTGCTGGCCAGCCCACCACGCCCATGTTGCTGGCCTGCCCACCACGCCCATGTTGCTGGCCAGCCCACCACGCCCATGTTGCTGGCCTGCCCACCACGCCCATGTTGCTGGCCAGCCCACCACGCCCATGTTGCTGACCTGCCCACCATGCCCATGTTGCTGACCTGCCCACCACGCCCATGTTGCTGGCCTGCCCACCACGCCCATGTTGCTGACCTGCCCACCACGCCCATGTTACTGCCCTACCCACCACGCCCATGTTGCTGGCCTGCCCACCACGCCCATGTTGCTGACCTGCCCACCACGCCCATGCCCACCACGCCCATGTTACTGGCCTGCCCACCACGCCCATGTTGCTGGCCCATGTTACTGCCCCCACCACGCCCATGTTACTGTTGCTGACCTGCCCACCCACCACGCCCATGTTGCTGGCCTGCCCACCACGCCCATGTTGCTGACCTGCCCACCACGCCCATGTTACTGGCCTGCCCACCACGCCCATGTTGCCTGCCCACCATGCCCATGTTACTGGCCTGCCCACCACCACGCCCATGTTGCTGACCACGCCCATGTTGCTGACCTGCCCACCACGCCCATGTTGCTGGCCTGCCCACCACGCCCATGTTGCTGGCCTGCCCACCACGCCCATGTTGCTGACCTGCCCACCACGCCCATGTTGCTGACCTGCCCACCACGCCCATGTTGCTGACCTGCCCACCACGCCCATGTTGCTGACCTGCCCACCACGCCCATGCTGGCCTGCCCACCACGCCCATGTTGCTGACCTGCCCACCACGCCCATGTTGCTGACCTGCCCACCACGCCCATGTTGCTGACCTGCCCACCACCACGCCCATGTTGCTGACCTGCCCACCACGCCCATGTTGCTGGCCAGCCCACCACGCCCATGTTACTGCCCTGCCCACCACGCCCATGTTGCTGACCTGCCCACCACGCCCATGTTGCTGACCTGCCCACCCACCACTGGCCAGCCCACCACGCCCATGTTGCTGACCTGCCCACCACGCCCATGTTACTGGCCTGTTGCTGGCCACCACGCCCATGTTACTGGCCACCCATGTTACTGGCCTGCCCACCACGCCCATGTTGCTGCCCTCCACGCCCATGTTGCTGGCCTGCCCACCACGCCCATGTTGCTGGCCTGCCCACCACGCCCATGTTGCTGGCCTGCCCACCACGCCCATGTTGCTGGCCTGCCCACCACGCCCATGTTGCTGGCCTGCCCACCACGCCCATGTTGCTGGCCTGCCCACCACGCCCATGTTGCTAGCCTGCCCACCACGCCCATGTTGCTGACCTGCCCACCACGCCCATGTTGCTGGCCTGCCCACCACGCCCATGCCCACCACGCCCATGTTGCTGACCTGCCCACCACGCCCATGTTGCTGGCCAGCCCACCACGCCCATGTTGCTGCCCACCACGCCCATGCCCTGCCCACCACGCCCATGTTGCTGGCCCATGTTGCTGCCCACCACGCCTGCCCACCACGCCCATGTTGCTGCCTGCCCACCACGCCCATGTTGCTGACCTGCCCACCACGCCCATGTTGCTGGCCTGCCCACCACGCCCATGTTGCGCCTGCCCACCACGCCCATGTTACTGGCCTGCCCACCACGCCCATGTTGCTGACCTGCCCACCACGCCCATGTTGCTGACCTGCCTGCTGACCTGCCCACCACGCCCATGTTGCTGACCTGCCCACCACGCCCATGTTGCTGACCTGCCACCACGCCCTGACCTGCCCACCACGCCCATGTTGCTGACCTGCCCACCACGCCCATGTTGCTGACCTGCCCACCACGCCCATGTTGCTGGCCTGCCCACCACGCCCATGTTGCTGACCTGCCCACCACGCCCATGTTGCTGGCCTGCCCACCACGCCCATGTTGCTGACCTGCCCACCACGCCCATGTTGCTGACCTGCCCACCACGCCCATGTTGCTGACCTGCCCACCACGCCCATGTTGCTGACCTGCCCACCACGCCCATGTTGCTGACCTGCCCACCACGCCCATGTTGCTGACCTGCCCACCACGCCCATGTTGCTGACCTGCCCACCACGCCCATGTTGCTGGCCTGCCCACCACGCCCATGTTACTGCCCTGCCCACCACGCCCATGTTGCTGACCTGCCCACCACGCCCATGTTGCTGGCCTGCCCACCACGCCCATGTTGCTGGCCTGCCCACCACGCCCATGTTGCTGGCCTGCCCACCACGCCCATGTTGCTGGCCTGCCCACCACGCCCATGTTGCTGGCCTGCCCACCACGCCCATGTTGCTGGCCTGCCCACCACGCCCATGTTGCTGGCCTGCCCACCACGCCCATGTTGCTGACCTGCCCACCACGCCCATGTTGCTGACCTGCCCACCACGCCCATGTTGGCCAGACCCATGTTGCTGACCTGCCCACCACACGCCCATGTTGCTGACCTGCCCACCACGCCCATGTTGCTGACCTGCCCACCACGCCCATGTTGCTGACCTGCCCACCACGCCCATGTTGCTGGCCTGCCCACCACGCCCATGTTGCTGGCCTGCCCACCACGCCCATGTTGCTGGCCTGCCCACCACGCCCATGTTGCTGGCCCACCACGCCCATGTGCCCACCACGCCCATGTTGCTGGCTGGCCTGCCCACCACGCCCATGTTGCTGGCCTGCCCACCACGCCCATGTTGCTGACCTGCCTGCCCTGCCCACCACGCCCATGTTGCTGGCCTGCCCACTGTTGCTGACCTGCCCACCACGCCCATGTTGCTGACCTGCCCACCACGCCCATGTTGCTGCCCTACCCACCACGCCCATGTTGCTGACCTGCCTGTTGCCCACCACGCCCATGTTGCTGGCCTGTTGCCACCACGCCCATGTTGCTGACCTGCCCACCACGCCCATGTTGCTGACCTGCCCACCACGCCCATGTTGCTGACCTGCCCACCACGCCCATGTTGCTGACCTGCCCACCACGCCCATGTTGCTGGCCTGCCCACCACGCCCATGTTGCTGACCTGCCCACCACGCCCATGTTGCTGACCTGCCCACCACGCCCATGTTGCTGGCCTGCCCACCACGCCCATGTTGCTGACCTGCCCACCACGCCCATGTTGCTGGCCAGCCCACCACGTCCATGTTGCTGACCTGCCCACCACGCCCATGTTGCTGGCCTGCCCACCACGCCCATGTTGCTGACCTGCCCACCACGCCCATGTTGCTGGCCAGCCCACCACGTCCATGTTGGAGAGAGATAAACAAGGTGAATCTATGTGTGTGTACTCACCTAGTTGTGCTTGCTAGGGTTGGTCTTTGGCTCTTTGGTCCCGCCTCTCAACTGTCAATCAACTGGTGTACAGATTCCTGAGGCTACTGGGCTCTATCATATCTACATTTAAAACTGTGTATGGAGTCAGCCTCCTCCACATCACTGCCTAATGCATTCCATTTATTAACTACTCTGACACTGAACAAATTCTTTCTAACGTCTCTGTGGCTCATCTGGGTACTAAATTTCCGCCTGTGTCCCCTTGTTCGTGTTCCACACGTGCTAAACAGTTTGTCTTTGTCCACTCTGTCAATTCCCCTGAGAATTTTGTAGGTGGTTATCATGTCTCCCCTTACTTTTCTATTTTCCAGGGACGTGAGGTTCAGCTCCTTTACCCTTTCCTCTCAGCTCACACCTCTCAGTTCCGGGACGAGCCTGGTGGCATACCTCTGACTCTTCTCTAACTTTGTCTTGTGTTTAACGAGGTATGGATTCCAGGCTGGAGCTGCATATTCCAGGATTGGTCTGACATAACTGGTGTACACGGTCCTGAACGATTCCTTACACAAGTGTCTAAAGACAGTTCTTATGTTGGCCAATGTAGCATATGCCGCTGATGATATCCTTTCAATGTAGGCCTCTGGGTACAGGTTCGGTGTGATATCGACCCCCAGATCTTTCTCTCTATTTGACTCTTGTAGGATTTCACCTTCCAGATGGTACCTTGTGTTCAGCCTCCTGCTCCCTTCGCCTAATTTCATTACTTTACACTTTCCTGAGTTGAACTTTAGTAGCCATTTTCTAGACCATTCCTCCAGTTTGTCCAGGTCGTCCTGTAGTCTCTGTCTATCTTTATCCGTCTTGATTCTTCTCATAATTTTTGCATCATCAGCAAACATTGAGAGGAATGAGTCTATACCCTCTGGAAGGTCGTTTACATGTATTAGAAAGAGGATGGGTCCAAGTACAGAGCCCTGTGGGACTCCGCTGGTGACATCTCGCCACTCTGATGTCTCCCCCCCTCACAGTTAAGTCTCCCCCCTGCCCCCTCCCCCGCTGTTTCCTGTTGCTTAGATACTCCCTTATCCACTGGAGCACCTTACCTTTTACTCCTGCCTGTTGCTCCAACTTTTGTAACAACCTTTAGTGAGGTACTGTGTCAAAGGCTTTCTGACAGTCCAAGAAAATGAAGTCTGCCCACCCTTCTCTTTCTTGCCTAATTTGTGTAGTGTGTGTGTGTGTGTACTCACCTAATTGTACTCACCCAATTGTGCTTGCGGGGGTTGAGCTCTAGCTCTTTGGTCCCGCCTCTCAACCGTCAATCAACAGGTGTACAGATTCTTGAGCCTACTGGGCTCTATCATATCTACACTTGAAACTGTGTATGGAGTCAGCCTCCACCACATTATTTCCTAATGCATTCCATTTGTCAACCACTCTAACACTAAAAAAGTTCTTTCTAATATCTCTGTGGCTCATTTGGGCGCTCAGTTTCCACCTGTGTTCCCTTGTGCGTGTTCCCCTTGTGTTAAATAGCCTGTCTTTATCTACACTATAAATTCCCTTGAGAATCTTGAATGTGGTGATCATGTCCCCCCTAACTCTTCTGTCTTCTAGCGAAATGAGGTTTAAGGTAGTGTGTGTGTAATTACCTAAGTGTAGTTACAGGATGAGAACTACGCTCGTGGTGTCCCGTCTTCCCAGCACTCTTTGTCATATAACGCTTTGAAACTACTGACGGTCTTGGCCTCCACCACCTTCTCACCTAACTTGTTCCAACCGTCTACCACTCTGTTTGCAAAAGTGAATTTTCTCATATTTCTTCGGCATCTTTGTTTAGTTAGTTAATATCTATGACTTCTTGTTCTTAAAGTTCCAGGTCTCAGGAAATCTTCCCTATCGATTTTATCAATTCCTGTTACTATTTTGTATGTAGTGATCATATCACCTCTTTTTCTTCTGTTTTCTAGTTTTGGCATATTTAATGCCTCTAACCTCTCCTCGTAGCTCTTGCCCTTCAGTTCTGGGAGCCACTTAGTAGCATGTCTTTGCACCTTTTCCAGTTTGTTGATGTGCTTCTTAAGATATGGGCACCACACAACCGCTGCATATTCTAGCTTTGGCCTAACAAAAGTCGTGAACAATTTCTTTAGTATTTCTCCATCCATGTATTTAAAAGCAATTCTGAAGTTAGAAAGTGTAGCATAGGCTCCTCGCACAATATTCTTTATGTGGTCCTCAGGTGATAGTTTTCTATCTAGAACCACCCCTAGATCTCTTTCTTTGCCAGAATTCTTTAAAGATTTCTCACATAATATATAGGTTGTGCGGGGTCTATGTTCTCCTATTCCACATTCCATAACATGGCATTTATTCACATTAAATTCCATTTGCCAAGTGTTGCTCCATATACTTATTTTGTCCAGATCTTCTTGAAGGGCATGACAATCATCTAAGTTTCTTATCCTTCCTATTATCTTAGCATCATCAGCAAACATGTTCATATAATTCTGTATACCAACTGGTAAATCATTTATGTAGACAATAAACATCACTGGTGCAAGAACTGAACCCTGTGGTACTCCACTTGTGACATTTCTCCAGTCCGATACATTGTCTCTGATTACTGACCTCATTTTTCTATCAGTCAGAAAATCTTTCATCCATGCTAGAAGCTTACCTGTCACCCCTCCAATATTTTCCAGTTTCCAGGACAACCTCTTGTGTTGAACTCTGTCAAAAGCCTTTTTTAGGTCCGGATAGATTTAATGGACACTGTGTGTGTGTGTGTGTGTGTGTGTGTGTGTGTGTGTGTGTGTGTGTGTGTGTGTGTGTGTGTGTGTGTGTGTGTGTGTGTGTGTGTGTGTGTGGTGTATCCTTATCACCTTCGCTTTTGTGATTAAAATAAGTTTTCTAAGAAGAAGCAGAAGAGAAAAAGACAAGAAAGCAATCCAAATAAAGATGAGGATACGTTAAGATGATGAAAGACGACCTTGACTGACCGGCGTCTCCAAGATCCGCCACACGCAGGCACGCATCCTCCACCCCCAACAACACCCCCCTTCAACACCCCCCCGTCAACACCCCCCCCCCCAGCTCCCGCCTCAACACCCCCTCCCCAGCCCCCGCCTCATCAAGGTTTCCCCAGCAACCCCCTCAACACCCCCCCTTCAACAGGTGGTTGACGCCCCCCCTCATGTAGGCTCCCGCCTCAACACCCCCTCCCCCTCAACACCCCCTCCCCAGCCCCCGCCTCAACACCCCCCCAGCAACCCCCCTCAACACCCCCCATATACACCAAGAGCAGTAGACAGCTCTCATGGAAGGTTTCAAGAAGTCACCAAAGTAGAGCCTACCTCACGTGGGAGGGGGTTGACGCCCCCCTACCTCACGTGGGAGGTGGTTGACGCCCCCCTACCTCACGTGGGAGGTGGTTGACGCCCAATACCTCACGTGGGAAGTGGTTGACGCCCCCTACCTCACGTGGGAGGGGGTTGACGCCCCCCTACCTCACGTGGGAGGGGGTTGACGCCCCCTGCCTCACGTGGGAGGTGGTTGACGCCCCCTACCTCACGTGGGAGGTGGTTGACGCCCCCCTACCTCACGTGGGAGGTGGTTGACGCCCCTCTACCTCATGTAGGAGGAAGTTGACGCCCCCCTACCTCACGTGGGAGGGGGTTGACGCCCCCTACCTCACGTGGGAGGGGGTTGACGCCCCCTGCCTCACGTGGGAGGTGGTTGACGCCCCCCTACCTCACGTGGGAGGTGGTTGACGCCCCCCTACCTCACGTGGGAGGTGGTTGACGCCCCCCTACCTCACGTGGGAGGTGGTTGACGCCCCCCTACCTCACGTGGGAGGTGGTTGACGCCCCCTACCTCACGTGGGAGGTGGTTGATGCCCCCCTACCTCATGTAGGAGGAAGTTGACGCCCCCTACCTCACGTGGGAGGGGGTTGACGCCCCCCTACCTCACGTGGGAGGGGGTTGACGCCCCCCTACCTCACGTGGGAGGTGGTTGGCGCCCCCCTACCTCACGTGGGAGGTGGTTGACGCCCCCCTACCTCACGTGGGAGGTGGTTGACGCCCCCCTACCTCACGTGGGAGGGGGTTGACGCCCCCTACCTCACGTGGGAGGGGGTTGACGCCCCCCTACCTCACGTGGGAGGGGGTTGATGCCCCCTACCTCACATGGGAGGGGGTTGACGCCCCCCTACCTCACGTGGGAGGTGGTTGACGCCCCCTACCTCACGTGGGAGGGGGTTGACGCCCCCTCCCTCACTTGGGAGGGAGGGGGGCGGCTCTGATCAGCCCTCCAACATGTCACTAGAGAGGTCTCCACCAAGCGGAAAATATTAAATATGTTCCAGTTCGCTGCCACTTGGAACCCACAGGATTTAAGACGTCCCTCGGGTGCAGTGCTCCTGGAGGCACGGAGGAGGAGGAGGCACGGAGGAGGAGGAGGAGGCACGGAGGAAGAGGAGGCACGGAGGAGGAGGAGGAAGCACGGAGGAAGACTTGGAGGGAAGATGGGAGGCGTGTATGTATGTAACTACCTGTGAGTAGTTAAGAACAGTTACAGGCGGGTCATTAAGACGAGGCATCACAAGCTTGTCTCTCAAGACAAGCTTGTGGCGCCTCGTCTTGTCTATAATCTTAGTCTAATGACAGTTTAAGGCTTGCAATAGTGTTAGCATACACAACTCTCTCATGTAAACTGTTTCACCACATCTATTACTCTCCATAACAACATTTACGCCCGTGTTGGCGGGGTGTCTGCCAGATTAAAGTGTTCAGGTTGTTAATGTTCCCCGCGCTTCTGTTATCAACACTTCTTAGAATTGTTGACATTCCAGTTAGACTTTTGTGCACCTTGTCACCGCACTTCCCCGTGTGTAGTTGTGGCATATGACACCTCGGGGGGTGTCATATGCCACATGTGTCCACCCTGACCATAGTGTGTGTGTGTGTGTTAGGTCTGACAGCTGTTTAGTTGCGTGTCTGTCATTGCACTTCGGTCTGTGTTCACAATAGATACGAAGAATAATTCATGATAAAAATAATACTAAACAATTTTTCCATCACTGTTGACTATATATCCGACGGTGCGGAGGGTCAGCCTACCTGAGTGTGGCGTAGAGCTGTGGCGCCACACAGCAGCGGTGGGTACTCCACACCTCCCTCACCACGGTCTCCCTTGGGCGCTAGTGTGGGTGAGCTCCCACGGTGTGGGTGAGGTCCCACACTGTGGGTGAGGTCCTGCACTGTGGGAGAGTGTGGGCGAGGTCCCGTGCTGTGGGCGAGGTCCCGCGCTGTGGGAGGGTGTGGGCGAGGTCCCACAGTGTGGGCGAGGTCCCACAGTGTGAGCGAGGGTGTGGAGACCAACAACAACACGTCAAGGAGCGCCAGGTGTGCAACAGAAGGCAGATCGTCCCCGACAGGAATGTTTGGTTTGAACGGCTCGACTCCCATACCACGAATGAAACCTCCTGGCTGTAAGACTGCTCACGACGCTTTGTTTTTTCCCTCTCTCTCTCTCTCTCCGTGGTGTGCTGTGTGAGGCGTGTGGCGGAGGGGAAGTCCCGGGCGAGGCAAGTGGGCTCCTGCTCCCTCCTGCGACATATTTGGCTCACCCGCCGCTCTCTCCGCTACATTCCCGCCGCTTAACTCCAGCGATGAATGGTCTAGATTTATTATTCACGGCAGTTGGATGTAGCGAAAATGTTAATACAACAACGCGGCGAGTACCTGAGTGTTGCCGGCTTCATGTGTAGTCTTGGTCCTCATTATTTTGGGATATCTTGTGACTGACAGTGATTAATGTTTGAACACCGACCTGCAGAAGGTGGGGACACACACAGGACCTGCAGTGTCGTACCGGTGACGGCATTCTATGCTCCGGAGTAATTACCAAGAGCATAGACTGCTGTCTATGACTAATAACACAACACTAACATTTTAAAGGATGGTAATAACACTAAGAGTATGTATGTACTTTCACGCGCGAGTCATTCTTTATGTCCAAAGATTTATAAATATCTAAAAAAAAAAATCCTCTTTGTAAACTTTACTGACATTTATTTCTAAATGAGTAGATATGTAAATTTTTAAATTACATTTTAAATTACAAAATTAAATAAATGACATTCTTTCATATTGTTGTATCTAAGAACAATGTAATGTCCGTTCATCAAGTTTACATAAGATGTAGCCGACAGTTGCTGGCCTAAACTGGTGAGTCACTCCTGCGGCGCGGAGAAGTTTTCTATGATGCCCTGACACGCTCCGAGCTCTTAGCGGTGTACCAGAGGTGCAAACAGGTGTACCAGAGGTGCAGGCTGGCGTACCAGAGGTGCAGGCTGGTGTACCAGAGGTGCAGGCTGGCGTACCAGAGGTGCAGGCTGGTGTACCAGAGGTGCAGGCTGGCGTACCAGAGGTGCAGGCAGGTGTACCAGAGGTGCAGGCTGGTGTACCAGAGGTGCAGGCTGCTGTACCAGAGGTGTAGGCTGGCGTACCAGAGGTGCAGGCTGGTGTACCAGAGGTGCAGGCTGGCGTACCAGAGGTGCAGGCTGGTGTACCAGAGGTGCAGGCTGGTGTACCAGAGGTGCAGGCTGGTGTACCAGAGGTGCAGGCTGGCGTACCAGAGGTGCAGGCTGGCGTACCAGAGGTGCAAGCTGCTGTACCAGAGGTGCAGGCTGGCTACCAGTAGGCCCAGAGGTGCAGGCTGCTGTACCAGAGGTGCAGGCTGGCGTACCAGAGGTGCAGGCTGGCGTACCAGAGGTGCAGGCTGGCGTACCAGAGGTGCAGGCTGGTGTACCAGAGGTGCAGGCTGGCGTACCAGAGGTGCAGGCTGGTGTACCAGAGGTGCAGGCTGGTGTACCAGAGGTGCAAGCTGCTGTACCAGAGGTGCAGGCTGGCGTACCAGAGGTGCAGGCTGGTGTACCAGAGGTGCAGGCTGGTGTACCAGAGGTGCAAACAGGTGTACCAGAGGTGCAGGCTGGTGTACCAGAGGTGCAAACAGGTGTACCAGAGGTGCAGGCTGGCGTACCAGAGGTGCAGGCTGGTGTACCAGAGGTGCAGGCTGGTGTACCAGAGGTGTACCAGAGGTGCAGCTGCTGTACCAGAGGTGCAGGCTGGTGTACCAGAGGTGCAGGCTGGTGTACCAGAGGTGCAGGCTGGTGTACCAGAGGTGCAGGCTGGCGTACCAGAGGTGCAGGCTGGTGTACCAGAGGTGCAGGCTGGCGTACCAGAGGTGCAAGCTGCTGTACCAGAGGTGTAGGCTGGCGTACCAGAGGTGCAGGCTGGTGTACCAGAGGTGCAGGCTGGTGTACCAGAGACGCAGGCTGGAGTACCAGAGGTGCAGGCTGGTGTACCAGAGGTGCAGGCTGGTGTACCAGAGACGCAGGCTGGTGTACCAGAGGTGCAGGCTGGTGTACCAGAGACGCAGGCTGGTGTACCAGAGGTGCAGGCTGGTGTACCAGAGACGCAGGCTGGTGTACCAGAGGTGCAGGCTGGTGTACCAGAGGTGCAGGCTGGTGTACCAGAGGTGCAGGCTGCTGTACCAGAGATGCAGGCTGGTGTACCAGAGGCAGGCTGGAGTACCAGGCAGGCTGGTGTACCAGAGGTGCAGGCTGGTGTACCAGAGGTGCAGGCTGGTGTACCAGAGACGCAGGCTGGTGTACCAGAGACGCAGGCTGGTGTACCAGAGGTGCAGGCTGGTGTACCAGAGATGCAGGCTGGTGTACCAGAGACGCAGGCTGGAGTACCAGACACGCAGGCTGGTGTACCAGAGGTGCAGGCTGGTGTACCAGAGGTGCAGGCTGGTGTACCAGAGACGCAGGCTGGAGTACCAGAGACGCAGGCTGGTGTACCAGAGGTGCAGGCTGGTGTACCAGAGGTGCAGGCTGGTGTACCAGAGACGCAGGCTAGAGTACCAGAGACGCAGGCTGGTGTACCAGAGGTGCAGGCTGGTGTACCAGAGGTGCAGGCTGGTGTACCAGAGACGCAGGCTGGTGTACCAGAGACGCAGGCTGGTGTACCAGAGACGCAGGCTGGTGTACCAGAGACGCAGGCTGGTGTACCAGAGACGCAGGCTGGTGTACCAGAGATGCAGGCTAGTGTACCAGAGGTGCAGGCTGGAGTACCAGAGGTGCAGGCTGGTGTACCAGAGGTGCAGGCTGGTGTACCAGAGGTGCAGGCTGGTGTACCAGGGATGCAGGCTGGTGTACCAGAGGTGCAGGCTGGTGTACCAGAGACGCAGGCTGGTGTACCAGAGACGCAGGCTGGTGTACCAGAGACGCAGGCTGGTGTACCAGAGAGGCTGGAGTACAGAGACTGGTGTACCAGAGACGCAGGCTGGTGTACCAGAGGTGCAGGCTGGTGTACCAGAGGTGCAGGCTGGTGTACCAGAGGTGCAGGCTGTTCTAGAGTGCAGGCTGGTGTACCAGAGGTGCAGGCTGGTGTACCAGAGGTGCAGGCTGGTGTACCAGAGGTGCAGGCTGCTGTACCACAGATACAGGCTGCTGTACCAGAGGTGCAGGCAAGTGTTCTAGAGATGCAGGCTGGTGTACCAGAGACGCAGGCTGGTGTACCAGAGACGCAGGCTGGTGTACCAGAGACGCAGGCTGGTGTACCAGAGACGCAGGCTGGAGTACCAGAGACGCAGGCTGGAGTACCAGAGACGCAGGCTGGAGTACCAGAGACGCAGGCTGGTGTACCAGAGACGCAGGCTGGAGTACCAGAGACGCAGGCTGGTGTACCAGAGACGCAGGCTGGTGTACCAGAGACGCAGGCTGGTGTACCAGAGACGCAGGCTGGAGTACCAGAGACGCAGGCTGGTGTACCAGAGACGCAGGCTGGTGTACCAGAGACGCAGGCTGGTGTACCAGAGACGCAGGCTGGTGTACCAGAGACGCAGGCTGGTGTACCAGAGACGCAGGCTGGAGTACCAGAGACGCAGGCTGGTGTACCAGAGACGCAGGCTGGTGTACCAGAGACGCAGGCTGGTGTACCAGAGATGCAGGCTGGTGTACCAGAGACGCAGGCTGGAGTACCAGAGACGCAGGCTGGTGTACCAGAGACGCAGGCTGGTGTACCAGAGACGCAGGCTGGTGTACGAGAGACGCAGGCTGGTGTACCAGAGACGCAGGCTGGTGTACCAGAGACGCAGGCTGGTGTACCAGAGACGCAGGCTGGAGTACCAGAGACGCAGGCTGGTGTACCAGAGACGCAGGCTGGTGTACCAGAGACGCAGGCTGGAGTACCAGAGACTGGCTGGAGTACCAGAGACAGGCTGGTGTACCAGAGACGCAGGCTGGTGTACCAGAGACGCAGGCTGGAGTACCAGAGACGCAGGCTGGTGTACCAGAGACGCAGGCTGGAGTACCAGAGACGCAGGCTGGTGTACCAGAGACGCAGGCTGGTGTACCAGAGACTGGCTGGAGTACCAGAGACGCAGGCTGATGTACCAGAGACGCAGGCTGGTGTACCAGAGACGCAGGCTGGAGTACCAGAGGTGCAGCCTGGTGTACCAGAGACGCAGGCTGGAGTACCAGAGACGCAGGCTGGTGTACCAGAGACGCAGGCTGGAGTACCAGAGGTGCAGGCTGGTGTACCAACTACATCTATAATCCCTTACCATTGGCTGGTAATAAATCAGACTTAGAACTGGTGAGACTGTGTCTATAATTCCTATCATTGTTGTGGGGAATATTGTTAGTCACGTCCTGTGGCGCGGGAGGTGATCCCTTCACGCCCGGGGCGTGGGGCCGCATAGAACAGTTTGGGCAGTGGTCATCTAGCACTAACTAGGTGACCTAGCATTGACTAGGTGAATCTGACCTGAATCCATTGCTGCAGGTGAATCCACTCCACATGTTGACCAAAAGTCCTTCTTCGCGTAGGAAGGGAATTGAAAGATTAACTCATAAATGTTAGTTTTTCACTTTAATAACCTGAGGCGTTTCACTAAGGCACCACCTAGCATCCTCAGAGGCTAAAGGGAAAGTGAGTATAAAATAACAAATCCCAATCGTTTTATATATATAGTCGCTATGTAAACAACACAGGATAAACTGTTTTTTTATTATGCCTGGTCGGCTGGGTGGGTGTAGGGTAAACAAGATGTTTTCTCTTACCTGTTTATTATCGAACAAGGTTGTTTAACGTCATGTAATTATGTGATATCAAATGGCCTAATTTTCCCTGTACCTGACGATATCTTTGGTGAACAAAATTGATCTATTGATGGTCCTGAGTTGAAAATATGTTATCTTTATTGATAACTTGTTGTTTATGCCTCGCCAGGGGTCCTTGAGAGACATATAGTCATCTTAGGTGTTTGTTGAGACCGTCGGGGCTGTGAGACTTGTCCAGCCACAGACAACACCCACCGCTTGTGTATGTCTCGAGAGGCGTGAGTCTCTCTTCCAACACTGGACAGAGGACGACATTTGAACTGGTAGGAAGAGCAGGCTGTTTGCACGGTCGGCGTTCGATCCCCAGTGGTCCTTGTGGTTAGACACAATTGCTTCACTACGTCCTTATATATATCCCAGCACTTCATATCCCAGCTCCTTGACCGCATATCCCAGCTCCTTGCCCTCATATCCCAGCTCCTTATCTTCATATCCCAGCTCCTTGCCCTCATATCCCAGCTCCTTGCCCTCATATCCCAGCTCCATGTCCTCATATCCCAGCTCCTTGCCCTCATATCCCAGCTCCTTGTCCTCATATCCCAGCTCCTTGTCCTCATATCCCAGCTCCTTGTCCTCATATCCCAGCTCCTTGTCCTCATATCCCAGCTCCTTGTCCTCATATCCCAGCTCCTTGTCCTCATATCCCAACTCCTTGACCCCATATCCCAGCTCCTTGTCCTCATATCCCAGCTCCTTGTCCTCATATCCCAGCTCCTTGTCCTCATATCCCAGCTCCTTGTCCTCATATCCCAGCTCCTTGTCCTCATATCCCAGCTCCCTGCCCTCATATCCCAGCTCCTTGACCACATATCCCAGCTCCTTGCCCTCATATCCCAGCTCCTTGTCCTCATATCCCAGCTCCTTGCCCTCATATCCCTGCTCCTTGCCCTTAGCTCCTTGACCACATATCCCAGCTCATATCCCAGCTCCTTGTCCTCAAATCCCTCCCTGCCCTCATATCCCAGCTCCTTGACCACATATCCCAGCTCCCTGCCCTCATATCCCAGCTCCTTGACCACATATCCCAGCTCCTTGACCACATATCCCAGCTCCTTGCCCTCATATCCCAGCTCCTTGACCCCATATCCCAGCTCCTTGACCCCATATCCCAGCTCCTTGTCCTCATATCCCAGCTCCTTGTCCTCATATCCCAGCTCCCTGCCCTCATATCCCAGCTCCTTGACCCCATATCCCAGCTCCATGACCACATATCCCAGCTCCTTGCCCTCATATCCCAGCTCCTTGACCCCATATCCCAGCTCCTTGCCCTCATATCCCAGCTCCCTGCCCTCATATTCCAGCTCCCAGCCCTCATATCCCAGCTCCTTGACACAGTGCTAAACAGCTCCTTGACCAGCAGCCTTGCCCTCATATCCCAGCTCCTTGACCCCATATCCCAGCTCCTTGACCCCATATCCCAGCTCCATGTCCTCATATCCCAGCTCCTTGTCCTCATATCCCAGCTCCCTCTCCTCATATCCCATCCAAGTGCTAAACAGTCAAGCAGCCTTGACACTGTCTCTTGACCTCCGCCAATTCATGTAACAAAATCGGGTCAGTATTTGGTGTTGTGTGACCGAACCAACAGCGAACAAAGCATAGCGTTTCCGGTTGAGGTGTGATACTGTCGATAGTGCTGAGGTTAAGACGCACCAGAAGGATGTATACGCATACAATAGTATGCGTATACTAAGTATACGTTAGTATAATACGTATACATATATACGCATTATACTAATGGGATTATACAACGCCAGTCACCTGAGGCAGCTTGGTTAAGTGTTAATGTATGTATTAATGTCACAGAGCGTGACGCAGGTGTGTAACAGCACCACAGTGCGTGACGCAGGTGTGTAACAGCACCACAGTGCGTGACGCAGGTGTGTAACAGTACCACAGTGCGTGACGCAGGTGTGTAACAGCACCACAGTGCGTGACGCAGGTGTGTAACAGCACCACAGTGCGTGACGCAGGTGTGTAACAGCACCACAGTGCGTGACGCAGGTGTGTAACAGCACCACAGTGCGTGACGCAGGTGTGTAACAGCACCACAGTGCGTGACGCAGGTGTGTAACAGCACCACAGTGCGTGACGCAGGTGTGTAACAGCACCACAGTGCGTGACGCAGGTGTGTAACAGCACCACAGTGCGTGACGCAGGTGTGTAACAGCACCACAGTGCGTGACGCAGGTGTGTAACAGCACCACACAGAGCGTGACGCAGGTGTGTAACAGCACCACACAGTGCGTGACGCAGGTGTAACAGCACCACAGTGCGTGACGCAGGTGTAACAGCACCACAGTGCGTGACGCAGGTGTCACAGCACCACACAGTGCGTGACGCAGGTGTGTAACAGCACCACAGTGCGTGACGCAGGTGTGTAACAGCACCACAGTGCGTGACGCAGGTGTGTAACAGCACCACAGTGCGTGACGCAGGTGTGTAACAGCACCACAGTGCGTGACGCAGGTGTGTAACAGCACCACAGTGCGTGACGCAGGTGTGTAACAGCACCACAGTGCGTGACGCAGGTGTGTAACAGCACCACAGCGCGTGACGCAGGTGTGTAACAGCACCACACAGAGCGTGACGCAGGTGTGTAACAGCACCACACAGTGCGTGACGCAGGTGTAACAGCACCACAGTGCGTGACGCAGGTGTAACAGCACCACAGTGCGTGACGCAGGTGTCACAGCACCACACAGTGCGTGACGCAGGTGTGTAACAGCACCACAGTGCGTGACGCAGGTGTGTAACAGCACCACAGTGCGTGACGCAGGTGTGTAACAGCACCACAGTGCGTGACGAAGGTGTGTAACAGCACCACAGTGCGTGACGCAGGTGTGTAACAGCACCACACAGTGCGTGACGCAGGTGTGTAACAGCACCACAGTGCGTGACGCAGGTGTGTAACAGCACCACAGTGCGTGACGCAGGTGTGTAACAGCACCACAGTGCGTGACGCAGGTGTGTAACAGCACCACAGTGCGTGACGCAGGTGTGTCACAGCACCACACAGTGCGTGACGCAGGTGTGTAACAGCACCACAGTGCGTGGCGCAGGTGTAACAGCACCACAGTGCGTGACGCAGGTGTGTAACAGCACCACAGTGCGTGACGCAGGTGTGTAACAGCACCACAGTGCGTGACGCAGGTGTGTAACAGCACCACAGTGCGTGACGCAGGTGTGTAACAGCACCACAGTGCGTGACGCAGGTGTAACAGCACCACAGTGCGTGACGCAGGTGTGTAACAGCACCACAGTGCGTGACGCAGGTGTGTAACAGCACCACACAGTGCGTGACGCAGGTGTCACAGCACCACACAGTGCGTGACGCAGGTGTGTAACAGCACCACACAGTGCGTGACGCAGGTGTGTAACAGCACCACAGAGCGTGACGCAGGTGTGTAACAGCACCACAGTGCGTGACGCAGGTGTGTAACAGCACCACACA